CCCCAAAATCCCCCCCCCCCCCCCTTTGTTTTTTTTTAAATACTGTACTTGTTTTCATTTGTGACTCTTCTCCTGTTCCTATCAGGTATGAGGACGACAAGAAGCAGTGGAGCGGCATGCTGAGGGAGATGCGCTATGCAGCAGGCTCCTCCTGCGTGTCTGTCCGCCTCAATGCCGCCAGGATGCCCAAGTTGTAGACAGAACCATTTTCCGTCTCAGGGCCCCGTCTATTTAACAGCTTCCAAAGACCCTCTCCTCCTCCTCCTTCTCTTTCTCCTCCTCTTCCTCCTCCTCCTGTGAAATGCTTCTAAGGCGCTGGGGTTGATAGTTGACTTTTTTTTTTTTTTTCTCTGAACTCAGATGATTTTTATCTGTACATTGAAAGCTCCCTTTAGCTGCTGCTTCAAAGACACCTCATCCCCTCAGCATTTAAAAAAAAAAAAGGAGTCACAATTTAGTTGGATCTCCAAATCTCTGTTTACACAATTTTAGCTCGTCTTTTGTAAAAAATAAAAGAAGTAACTTCTCCTTTCTGCCTCTGCCTTTGCTTTTTTCTTTTTTCCTTTCTTGTGCTTTCTGAGGGCAGCGCATTTGTAGAGGCCTTCGGGGCAAATAAGGAAGTGAAGACTAAACGGCGACGGTCGCCTTGACGCGAAAAGACCTGAGTAATGATCTTCAAACACACGGTCACATTTATCAAGGTGCCAACAGGATTGGCAGGAGAAAACACACGGTTGGGAAAACATTCAGGGATAATGTGCCGAGTTGGAACCGCTGGCTGCAAAAAAAGGTTTACTTTAAATTATTTTAGCAAAGGAAATCAGTATAAATTTACACCTAATTATTCAATTCGCTTTGTGATACCACTAGTAATCCCACAGCATGATGCGCCACCATCGTGCTTGGGAGTTGCAACTCATTATTATTAATTCCATCAGTTTTCATTAATTATTATTATTTTTTTTAATGTGACATTTTGTTTTAAGTGGGCAGTTTTAATCTAATACTTATTTTGTGAAAACAATCCTTTGGAATTGTCAATAGTCTGAAATAAAAAAGCTGACCTTCAAAATCTGGGTCAATAGAAGGACTTTGCCAACAAGTTAATGGCTGAAGATTTTTCTTTTTGTTTGTTTTGAGCTGCTCACAGACTGACACAATGAGCCCTTTTGCTTTTCGCAAAACTTCCCACACTCTCTTGTTATTTTAATGACAAATTTGACAGTGGTGCTCTATTCCAGGTGCCAAACTCTCTCCGCAGCCACACACGTGTGTGTGTGTGTGCGGGTGTGTGTGTGTATGTGTGTCTTCTCGAGAGAAAAATTAACAAAGACCTCAATTGAGGCCCTTGTTTCCTGAGCAAACAAAATAAAAAAATCTCTCGCACTCGTTTCCTGTTAATTCATGTGAAACCGGACCTTGATCGGTTCTAAGTGTGACACAGGAATGTTGTGCCACAGACGGCTAAAGGTGAATCACGCAATGGTGCGCCTGCAAAATGAAAATAAAAAATGCGGGAGTTTCCCCCCTGGGTGTGGAAGACTGGAAGTGCAGTGAGTGGGAGGTGCAGAGATGAAGGAATGGCAGCAAAAACAAAGACAGCACATTTGAGGACTTGGGCTGCAAGCTGATGAGAACCCAGTAGTTAAAAGTAAGTTTTAATATTCACAATATTTACTGTGATTTTGAAATGTTTTAATGCGAATTACAGCTGCAGTAGCAAATGAATGTTCCTACCTTTACGTCTGTGTCAATTTGGGACATGTAAGCTGCACGTTGCATATCTCAAATCCATAACAGGAGATGTTTCTCAAGCGGAGCTACAGCTGTGAGATCCTGAGAGGCTTTCACAAACCAAGCTGTTGACAAGGAAACGAGATATTGTTTGCTTCTTTCCCACTGAGGCGGCGTGATTGTTTCCTTTCTTGCCTGCTCTGCTCACCTCTTGCTCGTCAGTCCCACTTTCTCGTTTCTCCCTCCTTCAGTAATTGCTGCTGACCATGTAACGACAGATATGGGGGCAGAGTTTCAAATCTAGTTTTTTTACTCGTACAACAGTGTTGACAACAAAACCTTGACCTGCATAGTTGGTGACCCTAACAATAACCTTGGTCTGGCTATGTGAACATGTTTATATTAGTGTTCTGAACATCACCCTGTGTAAGCTTTTTTTAGTGAACAATAACACAATATTATCCTACAAATTAAGCAGTAGTACATTCAAAAAGTTGTGAAAAAAAATCTACCTTTACTTTGAATTGCCTACATTTTTCCAACACAATCGTAAAACTAATTTAGGATTTAACCAATCTAAGAAAGTGATTATAATTATTTCTGTTGATTTCTTTCGACTATTTTTTATTTTTTGTCAAAGCCACACAAGTTTAACACTTAAGTTATATTTATAAAACTCCATTTTAGCCTGGCTAAAGCTCAGGAAAAAATATAGTTTGAAATTAACTAAATTCTAACACATTAATATTGTTTTGCTCACATTGGTTTGTTGTTCAAATAACAAAATAAAAAGTCGTCTGTGCGGCGTAAGCTGGTCGTCGACTGCACCAGCTTTGTCAGCTAAAATGCTTGGCTAGCTAGCTATCAGACTTGACTTTATCATTAGCTTAAAGTCTTGTTTCAAACGTCCTCAACCAGATGTTCTTTGGCCATTTGTAACTTCTACACTAATAAATTAAAGAATTAAACCAGGTAAACCAGTGTAACTTGCTTGACATCTTTTGTATGAGTAGATAATTTAATGTTTCTGTTTAGAAATTATGTAAGTTTAAAAGTTAAGTTGTGCTTAAAACAATGGTAAACTTTGACTACAGAAACTCTATCCACCACAAGTTTTAGCTTGACTTTAACATTAATTCGACTTAGTATTAGTGGATTCAAATGTGAATGTAGCAAATTTAATTAAAGCATAAGAATTAATTGTGCTTAGACTTTAGCTTTAATTTAAGTGTAGTAATAGGTTGATGCTAACATTAGGATTAGGATGTGCCAAAATCTTGTCAAAAAATAAGCAGCTTATAGTGGCCTCTCAGGTCTTTCTTTTTTTTAGGACAAAATAAATGTTGTACCACCTTTTTCTGGTAACGACCTTGTGTTTCTTTTTTCCAGTAGGGCTTTTCCATGGCTGGGCTCAATGACAGCTGCACTGACCTGGAAGTGCTCCTGAAACGCTACTACCTATCTGTTGCTTATGGCCTCATCTTTGTAGTGGGCCTAGTGGGGAACATTACATCCATAGGCATCTACCTGGCAAAGCTGCGTCCATGGAAGAGCAGCAGCATCATCATGGTCAACCTGGCGCTAACGGATCTCCTCTATGTCCTCACCATGCCCTTTTTGGTCTACTACTACAGCAATGGTGAATCGTGGATGCTCGGCGATTTCATGTGCCGTTTTGTGCGGTTTGCGTTTCACTTCCATCTGTATGGAAGCATCCTGTCTTTGTCCTGTGTCGCGGTTTTCCGTTTTTTGGTGGTGATCCAGCCGCTGAGAGTGGTAGAGGTGCAACAGAAGGTTTGGGGAATCGTTGCCTGCTTGGTTGTCTGGATTGTCTCTGCCGCTGAAGTCACCCCAATGCTTACCTTCATATCCCTGACCCACAAGGACAACATGAAATTTTGCATTGACTTTGCTAGCATAGAGTCAGTCGGTAGCATTCGGGAGTACAACTGGCTGCTCACTGTGTTTGGGTTTGCGCTACCGTCAATGCTGGTGTTTGTCTGTTACATCGGCATTGTGAAACGGCTCACTAGTGGGTCCAGCCCCACCACTTCCTGCAGGATGCGAGCGCGGCGAGTCATCGTCCTCATCCTGGTGGTGTTTGCGATGTGCTACCTGCCGTACCACATCTTACGAGTGTTGTGGGTGGAAATTCGAACAAATTCAACAACAAAGTGCATGAAATATGTCGTGAATGCAGCTTATATTATCTCAAGGCCTCTGGCGGGACTCAACACATTCTTTAACCTGGCTTTGTACACTCTCTCAGGAGACAACTTCAGAAAGGCCTTTGTGGACATTTTTTGCCGGGAACAATGGCTCGCCAAAGCAAAGTCCCTGCTCCACCTGAACATCGTGCACCGGGCTGAGACTGACATGCCCGCTGCATGACAAACAAATAATGACTTTTTTTTTTTATGTAACGAAATTACTGGATGGACACTATTTGTCAGCAATTTCAGACAGTATGTGAATATCACCAGAGTTTGCATCAATGAGATAATAGATTAGCAAATTACCTGAGTTAATTTAAGCTTTCTAATTGTTGCTCTGATTATATGGACAAGTGGAGGTGTATGCTTAGTCATTTTATCTTAGTTAAGTGGTATGTTTCCAGTTTTGAACTATAGCCAATTTCTGTCACATTTTGCTGTACCTTGCCAAATTACTGCCTGTTATAGATCTTGTCACATTAAAATACTGTAAACATCAATACATTTTTTCTAAGTTGTGAAATGGAAAGAAGGCGACACGCTGTTTTCAAATATAACAAATGAAAGTCAAAAATGTGGAGAACAGTTGTACTGAGCACCTTTTACACTGCTTTATTACCCCAAATTAAAAAAAAAAAATACAGTTAAACTAAATATGTAAAATGTTTCTTTCAGGTATAGATGAATCATACTGCTGACTGACTTGAGGAAAACATGTTTTGATGATTTCTATTGTGGGGAACCCACGTAAAACTCACCTAATAAACATTCAGGCATAAAGCATGTCACATTGATCTTGTTCCTATTTTTAATAAATTTCAAATAGAAATGTATGAGATATAGGTTTGAGTGCAACCAATATGGTTTAACGTTTCCCCTCTTTTTGAGCCACAGCTGTGCTAATTTTTTGCACGTCCTCAATGCAGCAAGGTTATGATTCGGCCATGAGTTAGGTTAATGTTTTTATTATGTTCCTCATTCTCTCATTATTATAAATGATAAAAGACATATTATGTCTATTTTTATTACAAGTTGATATTATTTCCCCCAAGGCTTTGGCATTGTCATTGTCACACAGTCTTATTTGAGAATGTATCTCCAGCTGCATTTTTAAAGGGCACTCACAGTGTTTGGGAAAAGATACTATAATGACTAAAATGACTTTTGACAGATTGCAAGTGTTTGTTAAAATAATGCCAGGAGCGGCAGATATCAGCAATGATCTTGGAGCAGAAATTGTTAACCGTGTGTCAGATAGTTGAAACTTAGCCGCCTTTGGGTTGTGTTAATCCAAACACAACACAAAATAGTAAAAGAAAAACAAACAAACAAACAAAAAACGTCAAAGTTTAAGTATGTTAAATATTAAATTAAAACTGAAAGCAATGTAGAAAAGTTACTCACAACTCCTCCACAAGATTGCGCAAGCTTTCCGACCACTAAATGCATTTTATGTTCTTTAATTCTCTGTGGGATGTGAACATTTCTGAAACAATCAACTTTTAGCGACATTACTTTCAGCACTATAAGTCTGCATCACCTTATTTTTGTGGTTAAGTTTATTATAGCGCACCTAAAAAAACAGTAATTCTCAGACCAAACCAGATGGTGGCAGTAATGCACATAACTTGAATGTTAACCCAATAACTAACACAACAACCGAAGAAGTTGTTGTGGCTCGCGCCAGTAGTCAAGTTGATGAAGGATCTGCGCGTGGTGTTTGAGGACGAGATTTGCCTGCTACCAGAGAAGACCGGCGGATGTAATTTAACCAGAAAAACTTATTTTATTCACAACATTAGAGCTGTTTTCATGTCTTAGTGTTTGTATTTAATAGCTGACACTTTAAAGCCAAAGTATAAATTACAAAACTTTAACAATTTGGCTGGTAAGTTAGTCACCTCTAACTACGTTTAATTTTTTGTTTTTGGTTCCAGAACTTCCGGGAACTACTATAAAACAATATAGATACTTTTTTTTTTTAAATTGGAAATTAAATGTCTGTATAAAACAGTGAATAATTATTTCGAATTTTAAATCGCTAAGTGATAAAGTCACGTGATACAAACATTTCAGAAGGATTAAAAAATTAGAAGTTTTTCGTACATATTGAGAGAATGTGTTAATCGGTTTTTGGAAAGAAAGTTTAACCAAAAATGACGGTTTTTGTTTGGCATTTTTGTAATTTGTTGTGTACAATTTTTATATATTATATGTAGGATGTTTATAATCTCCCCTTTCCTGTTATTAAAGGCAGCTTGATTTGCTCATTCAGGAAGTGACGGTGATTGGACTAACCACCCACGGTGCTTTCTTCTATGTGGATCTTAAGGTGGGTTCCAGTCTCACTATCCATAAATTTGTGAAAAGTTTGCACTTCAAATGTCAAAAACATGGTTTAGATTTCGTATCGAGACATTTTAGAATTATCATTCCAAATCCTTCATCTCATCTAGTAACAGATGAAAAATTTCATACTGATGAAGGACACTGAATTCAGTTAGGCTTCAGTAGGTATGCCCAGACATCTCGGTGCATAATATTTACATTGATTGCTCAAAGTTGTTAGCAAGAAAAGTTAGACTGCATATTATGACTTAAGGAGACACTGGTTTGTCCCTTCATTTATGGTATGCAAATAATCTTTAGATGAGAGTTAAACCTAGAAGACTACTGGGAAAGACCACATTAAATATAACAATAAGGTCTGTCTGATTGGAAATAAATGAATACATTTTATAGTGTTTCACATGACGTCTATTTTGCTTGTACTGACTGTTTCAGCCTCTTAAAACAATCAACATAGGGAGAAGTTGCTGCCATGAGTTTGAAACTACATCTAATTGAATAAACAGACCAGCTCCTCAGTAGACGTAAGGTAAGTTAAAGCTTTTTAAAATTACATAATGCTATATAAACACAGTTAAATATGATCTCGTGGTAACAAATGCTCACAAGTTTGTTCTGAAAAATGCTTGGCAAGCATGTTGGAAAAAGCATTTTGCTAATTAAATCCTTAAATGATTATGAAATGATTACACATAAATGTCTCTAGATATGAAATAAGTGCATGTTTAATCTTGCTGGGAGTTTGGGTAAGTTTAACTATAATCACATTTGTCTTAGTATTTCAAATAAATTAATTTTGTCCAGAAATGGTAAGCTATAAGCTAGGAAATAATTTAAATATGTTGCAATTTGTTGCAATATTCTTTAATGTGTTAAGTGGGTTTGTATCTTCTCTAAAAGACAAGCTGGTTTTCCAGCCAATAATTCATCCGGATGTGGTTTCCTTTGTATGAATTTGGGTTTTTAAGATTCCCATCTTCAGTGGGCAGGTGCACGCAGTAGAAATGAGGCTTGTTATTATGGATTTGTAAAATGTTTCTCTCCTGCACGCTGTGCAGGTAGAGTCGACAGCCGGGAATGGAAAAGCTATTTTAGTCTGTGGATATTCTGTTTTTGCCTCCAAATTGATCTCGACGTTACACTTTTTTCCTCCTCTGGAGCGCATCACGGAGCCGTCAGGAAGTGCGTATTGCAGACGCCGGCGCCAGGATATTAATTTTAAGCAATCGCCCCAGCACCTAACTTTTAAAGGTTTGCTGTCTGTGGAAATTTGCAAAACCTGATTGTTTTTCTACTTGAGCGAAAATGGAGCGTCCGTCGAGCTGCACGGTTCTCAGATTGCAGTGGGGAAGAAAAAACAAAAAGCCTTAAGCTTCTTCTATTTTCTGCTGCGGCAGAGTCACGGCCAATTGAAGTTTAAATGATCAATTTGGAAGCAAAGAGCCCAGTGATCAATGGCCTAATGGTACAAATACCAATGTTCTGTCAGTGTGATGTAAGAGTGCTCGAAGTGGCTCTGACAGCTTGTCTTTCAGGCCTACTGCTCTCCTCTTCTTCATGGGTAAAAAAAAAAAAAGGAAAAAAACTCATCATCTGTGCGTGAATGGGGGAAGAAGTGTGAAGATTTTATAGTGTGGAAGAAAAAACATGTGTGCTGGAGAGTCCATCAGGTACAAATTACCAGCACAGGACGCTGCGTGTTTTTATTGAACCAGTTTCCAGTGGGAAATTACCTTCACTCTTATACTAAAAAAAAACAAAAAAAAAACATTTTTCGAGCATATTAAATGTTATACATGAAATTTAATGAAGCACGTTAGTCTGTAAATGTAGTTTTCTCCTATGTTGAGTTAAATCCTGCCAACAATATCAATGTTGCCATCTTCTGCTCTAAACACGTAGATCACAATATGTTGGTTCAGTTAGCCATTAGCTGTTCGAAATTGGTCATAGGAAGTGTCATGCAGAGAATAGTAAGGTTGCTATGGGTTGTATTGTAATTTAACATACCAATATCATTAAAGTTTACCAAAAATGTATGTGTGGACCAAGAACTTGAGTCTGTATCCAGCTTCAGCTTGTTTAGCACTGTTAGCATTAGCAGGAGTGCTAATGCTAACAGTGCTGAGCTTCCTAATCCTCAGGCAGTCAGTAAAAGTAAATCCCTAATAACAAACTAATTATTTTTTTGTTTAGTTCTAACAATGAAAGACCAAGCAAATGATCTAAATAATGAAAATTTGGTAAATTAGGTATTAGACATAGGGCAGTTAACAGGGTTAATGACATTCTGAGGTTTTGGTACTGGAACTACAAGATTTCCTTCATTACATTTTAAATCCTAATAAATGCTGGAGTTACTGCCGTTTTCTTCAGTTGTCTAAAGTATAGTGTATGTAGTGGGACTCCTCCCCCACAGGTTGCTTGTTGCTGGCTAATACGTTTCTCTAAGTTTTGGCCGTTTTGATAAGTTTGTGATGGTTAAAAACATGAAACAGTGACTGTGCAGAAGCTGAAGGACCTCATTGGGTGTTATTGGAAATGCTTGATGATAGCTGTTGCTACGCATGACGGCACAACTAGTTGTTGGTTTTGTGGGCGATTAATTTTCCTGAAGCAGGCCCAGATTGTATAGCTTTTTGTAAAAAAATTGTTTAGCATTATTGTAAATGTAATAACCAAGATGTTATGGTAGATATAACTTGGAAGGACACAAGGAAAAGAAAGGAATGCCTCAAACATAGAAAGGAAGAACACAAAGATGAAGCAAGGAAGGAAGGAAGGAAAGAAAGAAAGTTTGGGATTATAAGTAGTTCCTCATACTCTTTATTTTCTACTTCAGATTTTTTCCAGCTGTGTAGGGAAATGTGCGCAATAGCTGTTAAATTTGTGTCACTTCTAAGAAAAAATCATAAGAATCTAGTCAAATAAAATGAAATCAACTTGTTACACCAATTTTATTGGTTCATTTGTAACAGTTTGTTTCATCAGTTCAGTCAGAAAGAAGAAAACACACTGCAGTTTGCCAAGTTTGTGCTTTGATACTCTTATAAAGCCAAACACCACAGAGTCACAAGATTTCAACATAGAGCTAAATAACAAACAGGACATCAAAGACCCAGTCATCATTTAGGAAATATAATAATAAATAGGCCTCTCTTATATTATACATATTTTCATATCCTTGTATTTTTTTTTATTGCGCAACATGAAGAATATTTTCACCACCTGGAGAACATTCAAAGCACTTGCAACTGAATAAATAAACACATTTTCCACTATTGCAGTGCCAAAATTTAGCCATAAGAAAAAAAATATAAATACAAAATGTTCATGTTGCTATAGCAAATACATCCATCGTAAATATTAAGACACCTTTCGGCAGTCTGACGCCTTAAGCCTGTGAAGGGTGAGAGGTCCCGGCTGAGTCACAGGAAACGATGAAATTCATCCGCAGTCAGTCAGTGCTGTGATGTTCTGGCTCCTCACCATCGCACCACCTGGCTACTGTAATCCTCAGTGGTGACTACCTCTTCTAGCACTTTCACCTCCTCTTCTTCTTCCTCTTCCTCCACTCCTCCACCTCCCAGTCTTAGCAGCTCAACCAGATAGTTCCTGTGCAGCCGCTGCCTCTGTTGCCTCTCCTGCCGCCTCCTGATCCGCTCCTCCTGGTGCTGCCTCTGCCGGTTATCCTGGTAACGCCGCAGGAACAGCTCCTTGGCGTACTCGTACAGCTCTACGTCCAAGGCGTTGAGCCCCTCAATGCGCCACCGCACCTTTTCGCTTATCCCCACGCTCGCAGCGCGCGTGCTGTTGATCTGGGTGAAGGCCCGAATGAAGCGCAGCCCAAAAGTTCTCTCGAACAGGTACTGCGTCTTGCGCTGGAACTCCGTCAAGCCAAAGAAGGCCATGTTGCGCAGGTTCGCCTTAGCGCTGGCGAGCAGCACACGGCCTCGCTCCAGCTCACTCATGGAGGACATGTTGTAGCACCCCACCAAACTCAGGTCAGCCAGCATGCGCACTTGACGGTTGTTGGCCAAATTCGAGGGACAGTTCATAAAGTCTGTGAGCGGCACACCAGTCCAGTCTTCCCCGCTGTAGCAAGCGGGAAGCTCATCCTGAGTGGGAGGGCGGCCATCACACATGTGGAGGGCTGTTTTCCAAGTAGCCCCACGCTGTACGTGCTTCCACTCACTGAGGTAGCGTGACACAGGATCACGTAGCATAGTGATGTAGTAGAAATTCCTGTAAAGACAGAGATGCACAAGATAAGCACGCTTGGATTAATTCAGTACAAGCTGAGGAATACGTTTGATTTGTCAGTCGGCTACCTGTAAAGTTTGGACATACTGGAGACTCAAGTCATGACTTTCACCACAGTAATTGACAGCTGGTGTGATTTGTTGGGCATGAAACATTTCTGCTAAACTTTGGCACTAACTAAACGACATTGATCCAAAAGTCTTGTACAGTTGCGGCAACATTTGCTGGTAATTGTGTTAACTAAGCCTTTTGAAGAGAAAGTGTCCATCCTTCCTTTCATCCTAAATCCATCGGGATTATTTGTTGATCAAACTTTTACATCCCTTCATCTTATTGCAATTCTCCTTTTCATTTTAATGGTGTAGAATGAGCTGATCGCCTTTGTCACTTCAGCATAAACGAATCAGTCAATTCCGAGAACACATAAGGCATTAGACACCCAGACTGATTTTGCCCTCTTGCAGATCCCTTCCCTAACGGCAGAATACACTCCCTAAAGAAGAACACATCTGCAAAGAGTTGGCAAAAAACGTTCTCCAAGAGGCCCCAAGTTCTAGCAATGGAGATACCTGGGCCAAGGCCAGGCACCGGCCAAAACCTCCTGTGACTAATTCCCCCGGGACTCAAGCAGCTCAGGCCCAGCCACGAATCCACACCAAGGACAACTTGCCCCCAGGATCCCAGACCTACCTAGGGTCTCATTGTAGGCCGGTAACCTATGTCTGCCAGCACAGACTCTCCAAAAGGCACCAGATGCAACTGCCAGAAAGTCACCTTTCTAAACCCCACTCAGACAGGAACCACAGCCCCAGGGGGTGACTCTCTAATAACCCAAGCCCCAGATGCCCCAAACCCAGACACCCCCCTCCCAACTAGGACATTGTCCTCACAGGACAAACCCAAAGACCTTCCATCCCACTTGCTGATGGTGTCAATCATATTGTGCAATTAATCTGTTATGTCCAATCTGGGAGGTATATGTTGCATTTTTGTAGTGTCAGTGTTGTTGCAGATGAGTGTCATTTTTTTTCACTAATTAGCTGACTTCTGAAGGCCGTTCATGACATTGGATTTTGCTTATATTTATTAACCTTTGCAAGACTGCGTTCCTCATTTCCATCAAATTTCAAATTACATCAGCGCACGGTATTAAAAGGAGACAATTTCTATGTGTGCAGTGCAATCCTAAGGTTAATGAAAAATGTCTGGGAATAAAAAAAAAATTAAAATAAAAAAAAAACAGTCAGACACTTTTCAGCAGAGCAAAGGAGGATGAAACTATACATTAAATTTCTCATATCCTGCTGCAGTTTGAAAAAGAAACATGAGTGGGAAGAAATATCTCAGAGGTGAGAGCACGAGGAGTGCACAGAAATTCTGATTAGGGTTTAAATGAAAAAACATTACAGAGTGTGTCTGAGGATGTTAGAGAATAATGACACAGAAACAAACGCAAGCCAAGCGTGCATACAATTTAATATCCTACAAATGTGGAATTATTCTTGTTTTTGTCACATCAATTTGCCCCTTCCTACCACCAGTAATGAGTTTTCTTTTCCTTTCCTGTTTTCGAATCACTCCGATCTGTCACAAACAGCACTTTAAAAATTGCTGTAACCTAGCTGCAAGGGAACCTTTCAACTGACAAACACGGCTTTTTTTTTTTTTTTCCTTTTATCTATTGATTCGCTGATAACTACCATGAAAGTGAGGTGGCTGAATAAGCAAGGTGGGGGTGGGCTGGAGAAAATTCAATAATTTAACTTTTTTTTTCTTTTTTTTTTTTTCTTGCTGAAGGGAAGCTACATAGATAAAAGCTAAATTGAATATGGTCATCCAGTGCGTGCAGATCACTGTGACCTGATGTCACGCTGAAAAAAAAAATATAAAAGCTCAAAGCAAAAGCCGGACTTTTTCTTTTTTTTTTTTTTACTCCGCAGTTTAATACCTCCAAACCTCCAGTTAACCGCAGCACAAAGAGCTCATCTGAAAAATCTATCTGCAAAAAAAATCCTCAATTTAACAAGTTGAACTCCATTACATATAACGGCTGACAAGAATCACCAGCTGAACTTTTTTTTTTTTACATTTAGCGACATCATGTTTTACCTATGGTGAATTAATACATAATTAAAAGACATTGCTATTTAAAGAAACATAAGTAGAAGGTTTGCCATGAAGACATTCTGCTCAGACGAGAACTGAGCTCTTTGGAAACACAGACCAGCAGTGAAAGATGGCGACCGGTGCCTCGTTCTGCTTTTCTTCAGTGGGGACAGGAAACCTGATCAGAGTTGATAGGAAGATGGATGGAGATAAATACCAAACCCTCCACCCAGGGCGGCACTCAAGCAATCATCAGTTGCGCCCCAAACGACTTTTTTATTGTTGTTTGGCTATTTTCAAAGATTTTACAGCTTCTACACTACCTAAGAAAAACACATAAATCTGTCCATTTGCTGGAAAATTCAGACAGATTTTTCTTTTGTTTCATTAGTTGTTAATGTTTTCATTAGCCACACAATAAAAAAAGGTGTGCTGCCTTTTGCAGTAGGGGGTTTGTGGAGGGAATACGTCTTAGGAGGTGCTACACTGCATTTCGTCGCTTGTTGGAAAAACCCAGCGGACTGTTTTGGGCACAGTATTTACCACGTTTATTAGCCCATGTGTGTTCCTGATTGGTCAAGGCCGAGTTTGGACTGCTACTGAGCGAAGGGTGGGCCAAGACAAACTCAGTGGCACATTTCACCTTGGGAAGTGTTTGAGTTACAGTTTTTGTCAGCAAAGCTGGAAAAATCCCCCACAGTAGGACTCAAACTTCTGTTTGTCATGGATGTCCTGGAGCTGTGTGTTCGACATGGTTCACTGCACTTGTTGAATTACCTTACCACTGAGTTAAAACAAATTCAGACTATTTTACACTGAATTATGCTCCAGAATTTTTCTGCCGAATCTATCTTAAGCTGATTTTGTTTTGCTTCTAAGGCCACTATCTTGTGATTCTGTAAAAACGGTATTTAATTTACTACTTTCCTATTTAGCCTTCCTGTTATCTATCTATTCTTCTCGTTTGCTCCCTCCCAACTGAAATGAGCTGGAGTCTTGCTGAGGACAACAGTTTCCTGACATTGTGGTATAAAAATTCACATACAAATTGCTGTTGTAAAAATACTCGGTTTTGTGTTCATCGGCGCGTACTTGTCATGCTTTCTTTCCACCAAAAGACGGCTTTACTGCACTGAATTTAAAGCTATTACTTTAAAACCAGAAAGGAAGAATGAAAAAGATAAGCAAAACAAAAACCATTACCAAACTAAACATGATTCTATGAACTGTTCCGTCACAATAGCGCATTTTGGTGGACGATAACTTGTCCCAGGAATTATTGCGATAAGTGATATTGTCATTTTGAGATAATTTTCAAGTAATTTAATGGCAGTTGCATAATAATGCAAGTACACCCTCTTAAATAGAAATAGACTCTTAATTTCAAACAAACTTAACAGTGGAACTGGAAGGTATTTTAAATATCCAAAATAAATAAGTAAAATAATAAATAAAATGGATACTGAAGTCTCTGTAAGAAAACTGGCCTTCAAAAAAAAGTACCAGTTGAGACCAATACACCAGACCGAAGCTTTTCTCACTCAGTCTTTGGCAGAAAGAGAGCAAGACAAAATAAACAATCATGCACATGGAAATGATTGAGCTTGTTTTAATTGATCATGATATAGTTTTATTGCTTATTGTGACAGACGTATCTGCCACTATTGGTTACACAAGCAGCTTTAATCATAAGAATTCACTTCTTTACAATGTCTCCAATGCCTTTCCTTATTTAGGACTTCTCTTTTTCTTGTACAGCAGAAGTCCCAAATGTGTTGCCACCTTTCCACATCACCTAATTTCCACTCCCATCAGAACATCTGCTCCAGATCCCCTATCATCCCTCTTGTGTATACAGCTGCCCTTTATCTGGTTCATTCTTTCTTGGTTAGTAATTCCTTGACTGGCTTTATGTCTGCCAGTTTGTCTGCAAGGTGCAGGTTTCTCCGATTCCCTGTCTGTCTTAAAAGGTTTTTAAAGTAGAAAAGAATATAATGCAAAATTTCTTACGTCTTAAAAGTCAAAAAATGAGAAATGCGTGGCTTAGATTTCTTACTCTGATACCACCAAACAAAATTAAAGTACTGTGGGTTGCAAAAGAGAAAAGAAAAAAATCAATTTCTTTGGGGTAATACACTCAGACTTACAGTTAAGAAAGCCCGGTAATTTTGGACTCTATCAGCGATGCACTGTATTAATATGCAATGAGTATCATCAGTTTAAGCCGTCATTATAAATCTGCTGTGTATTAGATGTAAAGAGATCATTAGTCGTGTACGTCTAATGATTTCACTTCACGGCTTAGCAGAAATGTGATTGAGAAAGCAGCAAAGACACCGAGTCAAGAGCACAGAGCCAAGCAGCTTCAAAGGTCGACAATTTAGCAATTAGAGCCAGACAGAAGATATCAATCAGCGGTGATATATACTTAAACGAGTGATGTGGTGATGGCACGGTACAACACGCACCCTCTGACAGACACACCACCCATAGATAATAGCAGCCCACAGTGGGAACTAAGTGAATTACTATGCCATCTTAGTGGAGTAGATTGGAAAGCGATGGATAGACGGACCAACATGAGCTCCTCACCGTAGAGGCCTTCTTCCATGAGAACAGCTCACTTTTTTCCCCTCCCTCCCTGCCTATCAGCTATCTGTAACAGCTAAACCACAAGACAGGTCGATCGATAAGTGTCCATGCAAACCTGCCTTTTTGCTTCTTCGCTTTCATCGTGACCTATTGACAAAGAGCAGCAAATGTCAAAGCTCTCTAGTTACTCTTGTCAGGGACAGCGGCGGGGTCATATTAGGAAGGTCAAGAGTAATTCCTCTTGGATGCAAGGCTGGGGTTACCCAAGATGCCCCCTTTGATCGAACATTTTATCTCACGTATCATAGAAAATTGGGGGTTTTCCTCAGGCTTCCTCTTGCAGATTGGGACAAACAGCCATGCTGGATTAAGGTTCTGTCAGTTCATTGTAAGTCTACATATTCTTTTCATACATATTCTTGGATTTGTTTCCTGAAACCACTTTTTTCTATATATATTATAATTTTTTTTGAATGAAGTTCATCTATGATCGACACTCCAGTTTCTTCCAGAACTTCTTCTCCATGCTTTTTAAAGTTTAGTTTACATTTTGGGATCATTGTTCAAAACTCAACTCCCTCACAGATATCAGGACATTTTCACCTAGAACATCCTGATATCTAATTGAATCCAAAGAGGCCCCAAAGTCTCATCATGCGACACTGAAAGCAAGGTGTTGTCTTTGCAGATGCTTTGTTGTTCTCCCTGTAGACAAACTGCTGTTCAATTGGACCTAAAAGTCTAATTTTGATTCTTTGCTCCACAGTTTTTAGCGTTCTTATCAAGATGGAGATTACTTTTCTAGTGCTTAGAATCAGTATTGAGTTAAGTTGTTGTTGTTTAGTATGAGCTTTACTATGGAAGCTGAAGTCTTGCTTTAGGTTTTTTTCAGTCAGTTGAGAGCTTTTCAGCATCTCTTTGGCTGTCTCAAAGAAGGCTGAGACCAATCCAACATGCATTTTTAGAAACCTCTGAAATCAACCTTCCAAGCGAGACTTGCTTGAACGTAGCAGACAGTGGAGCGACTGTCACAGAGTGCATTGTCTGTCAAAACATCACAGTGTCAGTGAGATCATGCCCAAGCGTTCCCAAATGCAAGGTTAAATCAACTGGTCGCATTTTGCTAGCGATCCATCGAACGCCTCGTCAGTAGCCCGTCACCTTTCTCCACACAGCAAAGCTGCAAACACTATCGATCGCTTTCTCTCTGACTCTCACTGATTGTCTCTCCCTCGCTCTCTAAATCACCATCAAAAAAAAAAAAAAAAGCTACAGAGGAAACTCACAGCAGCAGATCAATATCTGCCTTGTTAATTCACTCACTGCCATCAAGGACACCATCAGGCTCACGATAAAAGCCTTGATGGAAACTATTTATACTGCCGAAGACGCAGTCCGCAGAAAAACTATGTGGATCGACAACAATCCGATTTATTTTGGCCTTTGAAATGCATGAAAACACGTCACGTTTCTTCTCAATTAGGGGTGTGGGGAAGGGTTCTGAAAAATAGCTTAATTGCAATGACTCAACCTCATCCTTATTCAATGAGTTCTATGCATCAAGTATCCACTTTTCAAGCTCTTTCAATCAGTAATCTGCCATGTTTGCACATCTCAAGGCCCAGACTGAGATAGCCAGAGCTTTAAACAATGAAAGCTTAGGTAATGTTTGCCTAGTGACCATTTCCTTCACATATAAAATGCTTTCAGTCAGTCTGCTGACAGAGCAGGGTAAATTAAATGAACTAGGTCCATTAAAAACTGAAATATCTCAGTGGTGGGACAAAGTAAGCCCACATGAGCAGATGGTCGTAGCTCCCAATGCCGACACAGAGCTGTGAAACAAGTATGTGGATTTCAGCTTGAAATATATTGACTGATTGTAGTTGGATTTTATTACCGCACAGCTGAGAAACGATCAGAAATGAAGACTTTATTGCTCCGATTCTTCAATTTGCTGCACCTCTGCATATTTCTCTCATTCATTCTGTACTATAAAGTATGATGGCTTATTAAAGCCATTGCAGATGGTAAATTTTCCACCAAAAAACCCCCCTCAAAATCTTTTAGAATAATTTCAGAAATCTTCTAGAAAAAACTCAGAAATTTCTGAGCTCCAAAAGTCGAAAATGTTCTCTTTTTGAAACTCAAGGAATTTCCAAAAGTTAAAGATTTTCAACTTTACGAGCTCAGAAAATTTCTGATTAATCTGAAAATTTGAGTATTTTCCTGACAAATTTTCGACTTTTCAAGCTCAGAAATTTTCAAGTTTTTTTTTCTTTTCAAGAAAGTCTGAATTTCCACTTTTTCTCAGAATTTTGACTTTTTTGTTTCTTCAGAATTTACTTTACTCTCCGAATTCTGACATCATTTTGAGAAAACAAATCCTCTCCCATAGTAAAGACCTTGTTTCAAGTGTATACATGAAACTTGGACACCAAATCCAGCACATTTTATGTAAAAACATATGACAGGAAAATGCCTAACTGATGCTTCTGAACTGGACAGAGACGGATGAAGTCTTCTGGCATCAGTCTTCGGACCAACAGGTCAAGCGAGATCCATTTTCACTTGTCTAATTTCTTTAATGGAGTAATTTAATTTTCCTGTGACAAGTACAGGCAGAACGATCCCCATCCCCATCTGTGCACAGCAGGCTTACTGACAAACTAACACACAGCATAGCAGCCTTTCTTTTATCCTTAATCAATAGCACACTTTTTTCTAAAACATAACCCAGCTGTATGAAATGTCAGCAGGAAGCACTGCGTGGTAACGTGTAGAGAAATCCAGATTTATTGGGAGAGCGCTGATGAGAAAGGGGACGGCGATCCTTGCCGGTCCCATAAACGAGATGCTATTTCAGGCCATAAAAGCAAACGCCCCGGGGATGCTGGCGTAAAAAAGCGAAGGAAGGGAACACCTCCGGAAAGACACGACGTCTGGGCAACCTAAAGCACCGAGATGCTTTTTATTTTTTTTATTTTAAAGCTGAAAACCAGGCGACTGAAAATCTTCATCTTCATTTGTAAAACCGAGAATTTTTCCGGTGGCTTTCTTTCGTTTGGTTGTCAAAAAGCACGCCCACGGTATGCACAGCATCGAAGACGCCCTCTGCTAAAAACAATCGGCAGCGTGAAGCTTTACTCGCTTCGGCGACTTAGCTTTAACCTTTGCTTGGTATCTTAATCTTTTACGGCTTGGTGAGGTGTCAGCTGGTGCTCGAGGTTCATGTAGATATAGGAAGAATAAACGGGAGACTGTACACTGCAAAGGTCACATCCACCCACACACAAACTGCAGGAAGGCAGGCCGCTTGTTTGAAACGTGTGAACGCTGCTTCTATCACTGATTATTCACCTTTAACATCTTCTATATGTGTATTTCCCTCTTTCCCTCGTCATATTTTGACATTCCTAAGTATTTTACCTCAGTAAATGAAAGCAAAACCAACAATGCATCAAAAATATTTTCATGTCCCTTAAGCATCTTCCCGTTTTGTAACATTACATCAACAAACTACTTAAGAGGATTAGGCCACTGGAAAATTTATTTATTTATTTATTCTTTTTTTTTCAAAATTCTGACATTAAACTCAAAATTCTGACTTTACTGTTAAAAAGTATGTTTCTGACTTTTTCAGAAAACTTTAACAAACCTTCATGTATTGTTTTGGGAATTTTTGTGGCAGACCAACACAAGGTAGTGTGGTTTAAGTGAAAGGAAAATAATAAATGGTTTTCAGCATTTTTAATGTAAAAAAAAAAAATAAATAAAAAATCTAATTGTGGTTGCCCTCAAGCAAATGAAGCTGATGCAAATGGACACTTTGTCATTTTTTTTTTAAGATTTGCTTTATAATTGTTATGTTCTGTGTTTTCTGTGTAGTTATTTTTGAGGTTTCCTGTGTTTAGACCTGTTCCTGTCCTGTCTTCCCTGTTGATT